TGGTGAAAGTAACACTAAACCATACCCTTTTTCTCCAAAAAATGTCTATATACATCCACTACTTAAAGTGGTCATAAAGGTTCATTTTCTTCTTAAAATAATAACCATGTTATACTTATCTGCTCTGTGAAATGGTTTTGCAGCAAGCAGCCTGAACCTCCTCTTCTGGGGTCCCCCGCCGGCGCTCTCTGCTCCTCCTCCCTGCCGAGTGCCAAACTGCTTGCTGTGGGGGCACTTGTGCAGGTGCAATCCTCAGCTAGGCTGTGTGCAACAATAGACACACACACAGCAAGGCTCAGCCATGCCCCCGCACCCGTACCACAGGATTTGACTGACAGCAGCAGGAGCCAATGGTTCCTGCAGCTGCCTCTGTGCCTGTGAGGAGAGAGAAAAAGCAGTGCTGCATTTTCTGGCACAGTGCTGGATCGAGGTGAGTATTTAGGGAAGGGGGGGGCAGGGGTTCTGATCATGGAAGGTTTTTACCTTAATGCAAAGGATGCATTAAGGTAAAGACCATTAGCCTTTAAAACCCACTTTAATTGTCCTGTAACCTATTTTTCAAGAAATGGTTTCTTACTGTGTATTTCTGCCTCCTTATAACATCCTCAGTGAGCTTCTGAACCTTTCCATTTCCCCCTCACTTCTATTTGTTTGGAAAAAGCAGTGCAGATTAATTGCAGTCATGTGCAATGTTCTATGCTCACTACTAATCCCATGATCTAAAGTTCATTGTCCCTAGTCCATCTCAGAAGTGAGCAAGAGAGGGTGGTTACATTTCTACATACAGCGGGATGATGGAGAACGAACGTAGCCACCTTCTAACAGGAAGTCAGATCACAGCAGCAAAAAAGTAGTTTGTAGATGTGGAGGCAGCCGAGAGTAATAGAAGGTATGTGTCTGATTTAACTCACATATACACATGTGAAGCCTCTCGGCGGGTGGGCCTTAATGTCGACAAGCCGAATATATGCATACTATAATGTAAACACAGCTCCCAGCACAGTTGCTGCCAATCATTGAGGTCACATGATTATAAACCCTGACAATCATGGTGGTCACATGATTATAACCCCGCACAGCCTCCCAGCATTTAAAACCCCTTAAAGGGCTGGGAGGCGCCAGTGCCAAGGGGTTAAGAATACATAATTGAATTGTTTTGTTTAGTTTTTTTTACCAGAGTTTACAATAACATGCTGTCTTTGTTACCTGCTTTGGGAAAAAATACCATTTGTGCTGCTATTACTATAATAGATCTAATGAATTCAAACTGTGACTGCAAACCTTAACTTGAATTGCATCTAAAGCCAAAACTATTTATTTTAGTTTTTAATAGAGCAGGAAAGGGTTAAAAGCCTCTTTTTTATCTGTGTCTCATTGGACACATTCCTCTTAATTTCTATGAACATAACAAGATATATGGGAAAATCTCCCCAAATAGGTGATAAATCTCTATTTAGTTGTCATTAGAACAGGTCTTCCCGCTGGGAGATTTCATCCCACCTCCTGCTGTTCCTTTTGCTGACAACTTTCACATTTTGGATTTCCCATCATTTTCTCTCCTGGTGACAATGAAACAGAAAGGTTGAATCTCCCCAGCAGGGATACTGCTAAAATATGACACAGATTCCCTTTCCTACTCAATTCAAAACTACAATAAAAACTTTGGGCTATGGGTATTTTTTTAGATTTGCTCTTGAAATGTTAAAGAGTAACATTTCAAAAGTAACAAAAACAATCCTCTTTGGGAAATCAATGTTCATTGCCAGGATTTTAACAAAATCTGCTGCGTTCTGAAGAAACTGCTGTCTGTTCCACTTTGTGTCTTTGGATACTAATTCTGAATGGGAGTGACTTTTTCATTATGAATCAGCTGGTGCACTTGCAGAGTTTTAATGAGGAGAGTGGCAGGGTCTGCATCCACTTAGAAGTGATTAACCCATTGAGAGCATCTCACCAAAAATGACATTTTTTTTTGCAGTGGATGCCTAAAATTTTACATGCATATTAGTGCAGACTTCTAGGATAATCAGTAAGCCAATCACACAACCAGGAATTGGCATCTCTGGGGAGATTTCTGTACACCAGCGGTGTACAAAATGCTTTCAAATTGTCATATTGCATTGAATTTTACAGAAAATTACAGCCCTGCAGATCAGAAAGGAAAAGTAATTTTTAATACCATTTAATTTCCATATGACTTGTGTAGCAATATGCTATATTTTTTTCTTTGCAGTTTTTTTATGATGCAATTGGAGTTACTTTTTAATTGAAGGCAAAAATGAAGTCCGCTATATTTTCCTTCCCTCCAACAATGAGATGTTCATGAGCTCCCTCGCCGTCACTGACACCTTCGCCTGGTCTTCTTCTGGGTTTAGCATCTTCAGCTTTCTTGACTGGCTAGCCATGGATGACACAAGCAGATGCACACAGGAGATAATTTATCTTGTCACCAAGATCTTCCAAGAAAGTAAAACTTCAGTATACATTTACAATATACAATGCTAGTAGGCAGAATGTCAACTTTGTTCAGAAGAGGCATAAAAAATCTCTGACTTAAAAGCCTACTTGCCTGAAAAAGTTTTAGCTCCGCTCTAAGGTGGGAATTTTTTTAAAGTGGAACTAACCATGGTTACATTATCCAAGGGTCTCTTCTCACCCTCCCCTAAAAATGGCATATTTAAAAGACAGTGAACGTGACAGGTTGTGAATCAGTCACTGTAATTGAAAGCATAAGCACCAGGCAGTTTCACCTGCAGTGAATGTTTGGTGAATGCCAAAATTCTTTGCTTATATACTCCATAGTGTCACCAAAAATGCAGACCTTTGATCAGACGCTATTGTTGTGACAGCTGGCAACCTGTAGTGCACTAACTATTAAAAGGTTTTCCCTGAGCTGCCTGAACACAATACTCCGAAATTGCTAGGCTTCTATGCCTATGACTGCTCCAGGCTAGGATCACATTTGTGTGGGTGGTTCCCACTGCAAGTCCGTACCTGTTCCCACAGCCGTAACCACTCCATACAGAAAAACTCACTGGAAGCATGCAACTGCCGTTAATTCTAATGTTACAATGCATGTACTGGAAATCACTCCCACACTGGGAACCACACTGCACTTGCAGTTCCCGTGTGGGCTGCAATTTCTAAAACGCTGCAGGGACTTTTTTCCCTGTGTTTCAGTAGACATATCAGTCTATTCAAATGAATGGGCTGCCATGCACACGCAAAAGCCACCTATGTGTGAACCAAACAGGAGACCTAGGGCTGTTTTAGATGTTCTGAATAAACTGATCTATTAGGTGAATGAGTTCAAAGTTTATGGGGACAAGAGCAGTAACTTACAAGGTGGTGGCAGATATAATGTTCTGGGGCAGCAGAGGTGTGAAGGATTAAGGGCATGGCATGCCATTGTATTTTATTTAATTTAAAAAAATGAGAAATTACAAAGAAAAACATAAACCAACAAAATATAAACAGTTAAATGAACTGCAGGATTACATGACATTAATCTCCAGCACAATGGATTTTTAAAAATTACTTATCTTCATTCTAAACTGTGCACATTGTTTAGCAACATATTTAACAAGTGGCTTAGTGCCTCTTTATATATTCCGTTATGCATCAAATGTGAGCTATCCTGTCAGAGTGGTATGTCAGTTGAAGCTGTGATGTGTCCTGCTCTCAATATGTCAGTAGTAGTTCTGATCTGCCTGTGCTGCAGTGACCTCTTGTGGTGAATCAGTAATTTGCATATTGACTCATGGAACATACTGTATATCCCTTGGGAATGGGGAAAAATAGAGAACATTTTTTGAGATAACAATGTTTTAGAAAACCTATACTTACAGAAATACAAGAGCTGAAATCAGTGACCTTCTAAAAATGCTAGTTGCCTGACTGTATCTGGCTGAAGTACTTCTTTGCTCCTTCCCCTCCCAACAAGCATGTAGATAGAAAAATCAGAGCTCCAACACTTCATACATGTTCCAGGGCAGTAAAACAAAGTACTGAAGTCTTGAAGTACTGATAAGAAACAGAAGTTCCCATGCTTCCTCAGTACAGGTTTTCTTTGAAGCACTCAGGGCAAAAACTAAACTAAAAACTAACCTTTAGCCATTCCTTCCCTCCACCCCTTTCTAACCCATCACTGCTGACATCCACCTGTAATGATGTCATCCTCTTCTCTCTCCTGAGAGGGCCCACCAACAACCATCCAATAAGTGTCCACGTCTCAAAGGCACGTGGATACCCCATGAAGGACCCTTCCAGGAAATGACCAGAAGAGAAGACTCATAGTAGCAGTGTCATGTCATAGTAGTTTCAGGTAAGTTAAAAAGGGCATTCGGCTATTTTTTTTTTTACTATAGTTAGATTGGAGTGGAACAGGATCATTTTTATCCTGAAGAGGGGCTTTAAAGCAACCCTGTTGAAAAACTATGGAAAGGTAGCTGAAGAATCCTCTTCACCTGACACACTTCCCGGAGTTCCTAGTCCCCCTGCTTCTACATCACTGCAATACACAGTTATGATGTTTAAGCTGGCAAAAGGAACCATAGTGAAAGAGAGAAACTACTGTACTTCCAAGATTTTCCTCCAACAGGAATGAGGTAATCAGCCTTTATAAACCTTTTTTTTTTTTTTTTTTTATCACTGAGGAACCATTGAAATTATTTAACCACTTGCCTACAGGGAACTTATACCCCCTTACTGCCCAGGCCAATTTTCAGCTTTCAGCACTGTCACACTTTGAATGACAATTGCACAGTCATGCAACACTGTCCCCATATGAAATTTTTATCATTTTTTTCAAACAAATAAAGCTTTCTTTTGATAGTATTTATTCACCTCTGGGTTTTTTATTTTTTGCTAAACAAACCAAAAACCACTGAAAATTTTGAAAAAAAAAAAAAACATTTTTCTTAGTTTTTGTTATAAAATTTTGTAAATAAGTGATTTTTCTCCTTCACTGATGTGCGCTAGTGAGACTGCAGTTATGGGCACTGATAGGCTCCACTGATGAACACTGATAGGTGGCACTGATGGGCACTGATGAGGAGGCACTGGTAGGTGGCACTGATGGGCATTGACAGGCATCACTGATGGGCACTGAAAGGCAGCACTCATATATGGCACTGATAGGCAGCACTGACTGGCTCTGATAGGCAGCACTGACTGGCACTGATAGGCGGCACTGATAGGCAGCACTGACTGGCACTGATAGGCAGCACTGACTAGCACTGATAGGTGGCACTGATAGGCAGCACTGATTGGCAGCACTGATAGGTGGCACTAACTGGCATTGATGGGTGACACTGAAAGGCAGCTCAGATGGGCACAGATATGTGGCATTGATGTGTACTGGTAGGTACTGATATGTGGCATTGATGGGCACTGGCAGGTGGCATGGATGAGCACTGACAGCTGGCACTGATGGACACTGACAGGTGGCACTGATGGGGCTACACTAATCATCAGGGCACACTGATCATCAGTGCCCTGATGATCAGTGTACATGTCCCCTCTGAGGGATGCTGATTATCATCTCTCTTCTCCTCTTGAGCTGTCAGCGTGACAGCTCGTGAGGAGAGAAATGCTGATAACCAGCATTTTCCTATTTACATGTGAACAGTTGTAATTGGACACAGCTGATCAAATGACCGAGCCGACATCTTGGACTGTTTCCATTGATCGGTGATCTGCTGTGTCCGAGGGGCACAGCGCACCACCGATCGCCACTCTGCAGGCCCCCAGAGCCGCGCATGCGCGGTTAGAATGGGAGGACCTCATATGAAGTCCTCCCAGAACGAGAGAACTGCCTTGCGACCGTCATTACCTTATATGGCGGGCGGGAGGTGGTTAAAGCAGAATTAAAGGCTAGAAATAAAAACTGGCGGGCTCTTTATTGCAGTACAAATATGTGCGGGAGTGACATCATCCCTCACTGACCAATCAAGACAGCCCGAAGACCGGCACCCGGAAGAATCTTGAGATTCTGGAACGATATTGCCAAAAGTATTGGGATGCCTGCCTTTACATGCACATGAACTTTAATGGCATCCCAGTATTAGTCCATAGGGTTCAATATTGAGTTGACCCCTATAACAGCTGCTATAACAGCTTTAACTCTTCTGGAAAGGCTGTTCACAAGGTTTAGGAGTGTCTATGGGAATGTTTGACCGTTCTTCCAGAAGTGCATTTGTGAGGTCAGACACTGATGTCGGATGAGAAGGCCTGACTCGCAGTCTCCGCTCTAATTCATCCTAAAGGTGTTCTATCGGGTTGAGGTCAAGACTCAAGTTCCTCCACCCCAGACTCGCTCATCCATGTCTTTATGGACCTTGCTTTGTGCATTGGTGCGCAGTCATGTTGGAACAGGAAGGGGCTATCCCCAAACTGTTCCCATAAAGCTGGGAGCATAAAATTGTTCAAAATGTCTTGGTATGCTGACTTCTTATAAATTCCCTTCACTGGAACTAAGGAGCCAAGCCCAATCCCTGAAAAACAACCCCACACCATAATCATCCCTCCACCAAACTTTAAACTTGTCACAATGCAATCAGGCAAGTGCCATTCTCCTAGCAACCGCCAAACTCATACAGGTCCATCAGATTGCCATTGGCATTGGCATGCTTTACACCACTGCATCTGATGCTTTACATTGCGCTTGGTGCTGTAATGCTTGGATGCAGCTGCTTGGCCATGGAAACCCATTCCATGAAGCTCTCTACTCAGTGTTGTTGTGCTAATCGGAAGGCCACACGAAGCTTGGAGGTCTTTAGCTATTGACTTTGCAGACAGTTGTCAACTTCTATGCACTGTGCGCCTCAGCCTGCACTGACCCTAGTCTGTCATTTTATGTGGCCTACCACTTTGTGGCTGAGTTGCTGTTGTTCCCAGTTGCTTCCACCTTGTTAAAAAAACCACTAACAGTTGATTGTGGAATATTTGGTAGCAAGGAAATTTCACGGATGGACTGATTGCACAGGTGGCAACCTATCACGGTACCACGCTTGAATTCACGGAGCTCCTGAGAGCGACCCATTCTTTTGCAAACGTTTCTAGAAGCAGTCTACATGTCTGGGGTGCATGATTTTATACACCTGTGGCCCTGGAGGTGATTGGAACACCTGAATCCAATGATTTGGAGAGGTGTCCCAATACGTTTTGCAATATATTGTAGGCAAGTATTCCTGCCTTTAGTTCCATTTTAAAGGAATTGTGGAACCCTTGCTAAAATGTTTATACCTACAGCTCATGTAACTATGCTTGATCAGTAGGCTGTAGAAACATTTACAGTGGGGCAAAAAGGTATTTAGTCAGCCACCAATTGTGCAAGTTCTCCCACTTAAAAAGATGAGAGAGGCCTGTAATTGGCATCATAGGTAGACCTCAACTATGAGAGACAAAATGAGAAAAAAAATCCAGACAATCACATTGGCTGATTCTGAAAGAATTTATTTGCAAATTATGGTGGAAAATAAGTATTTGGTCAATATCAAAAGTTCATCTCAATACTTTGTTATATATCCTTTGTTGGCAATGACAGAGGTCAAACAGAGGTCAAACAGAGGTCAAACGTTTGACAGAGGTCAAACGTTTCCTGTAAGTCTTCACAAGGTTGGCACACACTGTTGCTGGTATGTTGGCCCATTCCTCCATGCAGATCTCCTCTAGAGCAGTGATGTTTTGGGGCTGTTGCTGGGCAACACGGATTTTCAACTCCCTCCAAAGGTTTTCTATGAGGTTGAGATCTGGAGACTGGCTAGGCCACTCCGAGGACCTTGAAATGCTTCTTACGAAGCCATTCCGTTGCCCGGGCGGTATGTTTGGGTTCATTGTCATGTTGGAAGACCCAGCCACGTTTCATCTTCAATGCCCTTGCTGATGAAAGGAGGTTTGCACTTAAAATCTCACAATACATGGCTCCATTCATTCTGTCCTGTACATGGATCAGTCGTCCTGGTCCCTTTGCGGAGAAACAGCCCCAAAGCATGATGTTGCCACCCCCATGCTTCACAGTAGGTATGGTGTTCTTTGGATGCAACTCAGCATTCTCTCTCCTCCAAACACGACAAGTTATGTTTCTACCAACCAGTTCTATTTTGGTTTCATCTGACCATATGACATTCTCCCAATCCTCTTCTGGATCATCCAAATGCTCTCTAGCAAACTTCAGACGGGCCCGGACATGTACTGGCTTAAGCAGGGGGACACGTCTGGCACTGCAGGATCTGAGTCCCTGGCGGCGTAGAGTGTTACTGATGCTAGCCTTTGTACGTTGGTCCCAGCTCTCTGCAGGTCATTCACTAGGTCCCCCCATGTGGTCCTGGGTTTTTTGCTCACCGTTCTTGTGATCAATTTGACCCCACGGGGTGAGATCTTGCGTGGAGCCCCAGATCGAGGGAGATTATCAGTGGTCTTGTATGTCTTCCATTTTCTAATTATTGCTCCCACAATTGATTTGTTCACACCATGCTGCTTGCCTATTGCAGATTCAGTCTTCCCAGCCTGGTGCAGGTCTACAATTTTGTTTCTGGTGTCCTTCGAGAGCTCTTTGGTTTTCACCATAGTGGAGTTTGGAGTGTGACTGTTTGAGGTTGTGGACAGGTGTCTTTTATACTAATAACAAGTTCAAACAGGTGCCATTGATACAGGTAATGAGTGCAGGACAGAGGAGCCTCTTAAAGAAGAAGGTACAGGTCTGTGAGAGCCAGAAATCTTGCTTGTTTGTAGGTGACCAAATACTTATTTTCCACCATAATTTGCAAATAAATTCTTTCCAGAATCAGCCAATGTGATTGTCTGGATTTTTTTTCTCATTTTGTCTCTCATAGTTGAGGTCTACCTATGATGCCAATTACAGGCCTCTCTCATCTTTTTAAGTGGGAGAACTTGCACAATTGGTGGCTGACTAAATACTTTTTTGCCCCACTGTATATAAAGAACAAATAATGTGGCACACATAAAGTATTTAATACTCAGATTTAATAGTCTTTTAACAATCAAATTCTGTATGTGATAAAAAAAGATTTCACTTATGAAATTAATAACCTAAAAAATGCAAATTTTAAGCAACTTAAAAAAATAAACAACTTAAAAATAGAAAATAAATGCAGATAGTAAAAATGTTGGTGTCCCTTAACCTTTTACATTGGTGGTCATTGTAAAATAGCCCTACAGAACAGACAGTGCACAGTCCACATATGTTTATAGGTTACTTCCCTGCAAACAGGAACTTTTTTTTATTATAGAGAAAAGACATAGAGTTTACATATCATAGATGCAGCTACAAACTTGTAAACACTGCAATTTACTGGTTGAAGAAAATATCTCTACTGAATACTGATAGTTGTTGCAAAATACACAAACACTGTATTCCAACAAGAACCCTATGCTTCCACAGAACCCTGGATGAGAAAGGTTTAGTTAGACTAAACATTTGCCCATACTTGCTTTCCTTTTGTTTCCTGTTTGGCTGCCAGGTGCAATGAAGATACATGTTTTTTGTTTAGCCAGCAAAGAATTCATACCATTGGAAAGGGTAAGTGGTATCTTAGCAATCCTGCAGCAGGGGCCACCACCTATTCATTATAATGTTGGCCTAGTTAAAAAAAAAAAAAAAGAGAAAGAAAGAAGATCATACGCCCCAGAATAATTGGCAGCTTTACTTGTACTGTGGTTGCCACTAGACACAAGATCACTTTTGTGACATAGGCCACTGTCATTCCTTTTTCTGATGTGAGTAAATATCCTGAAATGTTTTCAACTTTTCCTTTATATCCATTTCCTCATTTGGTGAGTTAGTGGACCTGGTAATTTTTGCCACTGAACTTCAGGACATTTATTTTTCTTATCTGATGATCTGGTCAGTAGGTCTGTTGTTTTTCAACTTCCTTTAAAGGCTAAATTCACCTTTTCTAGAAAATAGCCTATGCAGTCATGGGGCCCCAGTAGATATAAATCTGTGCCAGTTTGTAAAATCATTTATTTTTTTTGTTTTTACCTGTACCCCATTTGGTTCCACTCAGAAGCTTAGCTAATAAAATCCAAGTTTGCAATCCTGACTCTAGGACATGACATGGAGAAGGCAACTGTATTAAAAAACACTATTCTCCTCAGTTTATATGAATGAAAAGGAGGGGTATATTAACCATTTGCCCTCCTGAGGATTTACCCCCTCTTCCTGACTAGGCAATTTTTTGCATTACGACGCTGCGTTATTTTCACTGGCAATTGCGTGGTCATGCAATGTTGCACCCAAATGAAATTTACGTCCTTTTTGTCCAACAAAGTTAGCTTCCTTTCAGTGGTATTTGATTGCCTGTGTGGTTGTTATTTTTTGCGCTATAAAAAAAAGATCAACAATTTTGAAAAAAAAAAAAACCAATATTCTTGAGTTTTTGCTATTAAACATGTCCAGTAAAAAAAAATGTAAAAATTCAATTTTCATCATAAATTTAGGCCAAAATGTATTCTGCTACATGTCTTTGCTAAAAAAAAAAAAAAAATCCCAA